CCATGTGAAACACACATAGGAAGCTCTAAGGATTCTGGTCAGCTCACGGATTCTGAGAAGGGGGAGGCACTACATGGGACAGTGTAGGTCGACATCTGTCAGTGCTGAGGTCATTCCTCAGCTCCTGGCCCAAAGCAGAGAAGATGAGGGAGGTATTGCATGATCACCACCATCCTTAGAATGCTCTGGTCCATTAGCACGCACACACAAGGGACAGTGCCAGATGACAGCTCAAAGGACAACTTGCCTGTGAGCCTGAAGCCCACCACGCTAGGTGGAAATCTCCTAGAGACCCGGGTCAGAGAGAGTCAGCACTCACCACGTGCTGGACCCCACCCTGCACTGTCCCATGGCCAGAGGCTCATGAGCAGCGGCTGATCCAGGGACATGCACACACACACACACACACACACACACACACACACACACACACGTTATATTGAAAGGGAAGCATAGGAGGAAAAATATCACAGGCCCAGTTGCAGTTATCTAAAAAATGCGAGAAGCCAGTCTTTCCAAATCTTTTTCATTACCTTTATAACAAAGGATTGGCAGAGAAATGTCAAGAAATATTTTTGTCAAGAATTGAATTCAGTCTCCCAATAAATGTTTCTCGTATAAAGTAAAAGTCTTCTAGAAGGGATGGGCTATATGGTAGCAGCAGGTATGGATCACAGAGAAAGAAATAACCTTGGAAGGTGTCAATAAGGTAGTGGCATTTACCTTGGCTTCCCAATGGCCAGGGGGAGTCCTGAGACTGTGTCACTGAGTCACAGGATGCATGCTAGTGTTTGCTTCCTTTAGAGAGATTATTGCCCATGGTGTAGGGGGCCTTCAGTGAGACAGCCGAAGGCTCTGTTTCTCGTGTCTTTCCTGCTCCTCTCATTTGCTTTTCCCTTGTCCCCTGTCCACATGGAGCCATGCCCCTGACCAACTCATGACCGACCCCTGCAGGGGACTGACTGTCACTCTGTCTCCTAGTTCCATCTGAGGACCCGCAGGACGCACTGACTGGCACCAGAACAGACGTGATTCCATCAACGACCAAGGTCAGACCACTTGTCTTTGTCTGAAATGAACACATTGCTTTCTTGATTTCTTTCTTTTCCAAGTGAAATTATATGTGAGAATCTGAACGTGGGTATTATAGATGTCTTCTACGTTCTCCTTGGTGGGAGAAATTTCCACTGGGAGTGTGTTTCTAAATAAGACTTGATTCCAGACATCATTTTTAAAAACGGCAGCATCAGTTATAGACTGTATGACAGCGAGGTTCTTTTCCTCAGCAGATTCTGATTTTTTCTGTTTTTGGAAAAGGTTTTTGTAATTGCCAACCAAAATGGGCCTGAGAGATTCAGCCTCCAGGAAGTGTCCATATTCTAAGTTAAAAGTTCCAGTCATGACTGTAGTATAATGACAGGCATTTGTAAAAATTCCACAAATTGGGAGTTTTACACATTTACAGTTCCCTACATACCACATATACTGCAATTAACCTCTGGGAACAAATTCGAATCTGCCCCTAGGAAAATGTTCACAGGGTTCTAAAAAGACAATACTGTGTTTCAGAATCCCTGATAATGTGTCAGCGACAACTTCATTTATTGATACGTCTCACTTTGATTTTCCTCGTGGCGTTTGAGCAGTCATGAAATGCCAGTCTTGACACTTCCCTTCTTCGCAAGACTTTCCTAGGAGAGGCGTCAGGATTAATCTTCCAGAACCATCTTCAGCATGGCGATTGGGGCAGTCTCCTTCCTTTGCAGTTAGGCCCTGGTACAGCCACATTCTACACCCAGGTTTTTGGGAAACTGCAAAGATGGAGCCTGCAGGCAGAGCTGGGGGGAAATCACTCCAACTTTCTCCACTGAGATCTAATATGAATCTTCAGATCTTGGTGCCCAGAATAGGCAACACCACGTTCATGTGCAAACTCCGTCTCCCAGCATGAGCCGAGTCGTGCGGTCTGTGTGCTCCTCCCAGGATACCCGACAAAATGGGGAGAGAAACAAGAAGTTCGCTTGAGGCTCTGAGCAGCAGAGAGAGCACGTGGCTTCCTTCCTAGGAGGCAGAAGGCAGGTCGTGCGTGGCAAAGTGGGAAAGGCAAGCCCGGCTGTGGGGCAGGACGATCTCCACAATGTCCCTGGGGAACCTGCCAGCTAGACTAGGTTCTCGTTTGCTTCTGAAGACCTCTGTGAGAAAAAAAAACCAGTCAAGGTAGCTGTTTTTAGTCAATATGAAGATAAAATGAGCCAAGTGATGGCTTGAGTTTCCTTTTAGAGCGTGCGTTCTGTAGAAAGACATTGTATTTTCATAGAATTTGAATGTCCCACAAAATAAAACCACGACAGAGCTTGAGTTCTAAATGGCAGAACCCTAATTGGATTCCATCTGAGAGCCCCGTGTCCAGCTGCCCCTGGGGACGCTCCAAGGCCGGCAGGATCCCAGGGGACGTGTGTGAAGGGGCTGCCGGGCTTGCTGCACCGGCGGCTCTCACAGTCCCACCGGCCTCATCTCCTGGAATCCACCAGGTGCAGGACAGGTCCCCTGGGCAGCAGGGACAGAGGCCACTGCTCCTCTCAGACCCATGCTCTGGCCAGACAGCGCTGCCCTGGTCCCCACCCTCTGGGGAGGCTCCAGCCTGGTCCTGGTCCTCAGGCCTGCCGGGTCCCTCACAGCCCTCCCCTGGCTCGGTGCAAACCCTGGCGGGTCCCCTTTATTTGTGTAGCAACAACTGCTTGCCTGACTCGCAGACTAAGGGGATTTAGACACCTTACTTTGTCTGACCCTGTGTTCACCCTCTTTTATAGCTGAGAGAAGTTGTGGGTTTGTTGTGAGGATCAAATACTTCCCAAGTTCCTGAGGTCTCCTCAGGTCAGGGGAATTTCCTTCACATGCCAAGTTGGTTGTGCTTCTCTCCCACAGGACCAACGTCATCCTACGCCCATGACAGGTGCTCCCTGGGTTTGCTTTGATTGGTAATTCATCAATCCATTGGTTAGGGTGGGTGGCAGGATAGCCTGGATCTTTCCACCAACGTTCCCGTGTGAGAGAGGTATCATGAGGGAGGGACACAGGAGAGGGAAGGCAGCACCACACACAGGAGGCCTTGGGGACAGTGGCTGCCTCTGGGAGGGACAGGCTGACACAGGCATCCCTTCCTGGTTATAGTTATCAGATTTGACCTGGAAATCCTAGACCCATGCCCCATTGCAGAGATGGAGGAATGAGGTTCTGAGACAGGACTACAGAGATGAGGAAGAACCAGGTTCTGTAGAGGGACCTTAAAGTATCAGGAACAGCAGGGCCCAAGTTTTCCCCTCAAATCTAACCCTGTCCTTCCTTTTCCCAAGGCCACCTGGTCATCGTCACTGCTCTGGTCCATGCGGAGGCAGGCTTTTCAGATGAGTAGGAGGACATTAATCGGCATGCAATGTATTTCTCAGTTGCATCTCTTTTTATTCTATTTCCTACCCAGGAACTCCTCATTGTGGCTCTTGCCCATGCCCTCTTTCCCTCTTTCCCTGACTCCCCCTGAAGGATCCGGTCTCAGCAGGCAGTTGATATAATTGCCTCTTGAATAATATAAAGTCTCCCTCTTGCTGGGTCCTGCACACCCACCCAGGAGACCCCTGCCCCCATCTCTGTGCCTCCCTAGGGCCCTGCACCGGCCTCTGTGTTTCGCATTCCTGTGCCGACATCGGGGAGGCCGAGACGTGCAGGTGTCAGCCTGGGCCCAAGGGGAGCTGCAGCTGGCACAGGGTTGGGAAGCTCGAATCAGACACGAGGCCACAGAACAGGGGCCGGCTCACTGTTGTCCTCCCCACGTCAGCCCAGGTGGCTCCAGCATTTCATGTGTGAATGTAGGTATTTAGAATTATTTTTAGAGATATCTGACATTTAATGCTGGACTTTGTTACATTAAACAATATCTATTATAGTTGTCCTTAAAATCTTTTTTATAAAGAAAATAAAATGCCTATGCAGACTAGCACCACGACACAGGTAGGACTATATAAGTTATTATGACAGGATCACCCTAGAGACCGTCACCCTCGTCACACCTTCTCATGGCACCCTCATTTACTTTTAGTTGTACAGGTAACCACAAATTTAGGGCCCACTTCATTGTCATTCTAGGCACTTTGTTGTCTGAAGTTTCTTTATCTCTCTGGAAGAGACCCACCCCTCACCCAAATCCAAAATCTTGGGAGTAGGAATAAAACCTTTGCTTGCTCCTTCTGAGAGCCCCATGTCCAGCTGCCCCTGGTGACCTTCCAAGGCCAGCAGGATCCCAGGGGACATGTGTGAAGGGGCTGCCGGGCTTGCTGCACCAGCGGCTCTCACAGTCCCACTGGCCTCATCTCCAGCAAAGAACCCAGGACAGGTCCCTTGGTCAGCAACAGCTGTCACTGCTTCTCAAAGACCCAGTGCTCCAGCCAGACAGCACTGCCCTGGTCCCCGCCTGTTCCCTGTCCTCTGGCCTGCCCAGTCCCCGCCCTCCCAGCCCTCCCCTGGCTCTGTGCAAACCCTGGAAGGCCCCTTTATTTATGTGCCCCAAAGCCACCTGCTGTAGAGCCCCTGTCACCTCACTTGCGGTGCGTTTGGACAAGTTGCTTGACCTCTTCTTTCATAGCCACCCTCTCTACTGAGCTAGGAAATGTAATGGGGTGGTTGTGAGGATTATATATTTCCCAGGTACCTAAGAACATCCCAGGGACACGACAGTCACTACACATGTGCAGATGGTTGTCCTTCTCAGAGCTCAGCATGAGCCTGGTACCGAGACAGGTGCTCCCTGGTTGCATGGCGTGGATAATTCACCAATCGACTTGAGTAGAGAGGGTGGCCTCATGCCCAGAATCGTCCCTCCAATGTTCCCATATTGGACAACAGGGTTGGTGGAGGTCGATAAGGAGAAAGGAAATGAGTAGTCATTAGGAGAGATGAAAAAGACAAGAGTAGCGAGAGTGAGGGGGAAGAGGCAGGGAGTCCGTGTCGTGCACAGGGAGACATGGAGACAGTGGCTGCCTTCGGGGACAGGATGACACAGCCATTCCTGCCTCCACGCAGTCACAGCACTGCAAGGCTGAGGCCCTGGGAGAGGACCGTGGGGATGGGGATGGAATGTGCTCCACCCTCAGGCTTTCTGCTGCCACGAGCTCAGGCCCCAAGTTCTCACCCCACTCCCACACCCCCTCTCCTCGCCCGAGGCCACCGCATCACGTCCTGCAGTTGCAGGTGCGGAACTTTACTCTGCAGATTTTGAGGACTGGGACAGAGAAACAACAATCTGCCTGGAATGTTTCACGTCTTTCGTGTATTCTGTGTACGTCCTGATCCTTGGTCACAACCTCCTCTGGGTACCCCTTCCCCAGTCCCTCTTCCCCTCCGCCCATGATTGTCATCCTGAGGGGCCTGGTCACGTCCAGGCAGTGGGTCTTTGGGCCTTCACTGTCTGTCAGTCTCTCTCCAGCCTCCTCCCCTCTTTCTCCCATCGCCCTGGTTTCTGCCCCGCAGGCTGCAGCTGGGACCCAAGCTGAGCAGCAAGGAATGTTCCAGGCAAGGGGCTGGGCTGGGGTCAGGGGAGCTGGGCCCGCCCTGCTGGAGGGGCCCCCCGGTGAGTGTGGGTCTGCTCTGGGCCCTCCCCTGACCGAGCTCTTGCTGCACTGGAGGCTCTGGGGGTGCACAGTCCTCCTCCCCCTCCAGGGGTCAAGAGATTCTTTAGTCCTGCTACCGGGGAAGAAATGGAGGCTATAAAAGACGGAGCAGATCAGGAAAAGGAAACATGTGGAGCAGACAGTGTGAAGAGGGGAAGGAAAACAAGTGCAGTCGTTCCCCACTGATCCCAGGACTATCTTCTTGACCCAGCAGGAAACCAGCGTAACTGGGGAGAGCACTGCAGTGGCTGGTCTTGGCTGTGACTGCGCATGTGCTTATAAAATGGTGCTAAAATCCACGCGGGCACGGGAAGATTGACCTGAGAACATCCTACCAGGGAGTGGAGGCTTCTTGCATGGAAGGCCCTAAGCCTGCTCAGCTGAGCCTCCCGCGAGCTGCTTTAATTGGGGGAGAGGCTGTGGGTGCTGGCAGGGCCACCATGTGCGTGACTTCCCCGGGGACCACTGTGCTCCTTGTGGACATGCAATAGAGTTGATCAGCATCTCCCTCTCAGGACCCAGCCCTGCCCACCCCACCCCCTAACGGCAGCAGGAACATCCCCAGTTAATCATGAGGGGACACCAGGGCTGGCCCAACCTGACCTCCCCTGTTTTAGGCCTCCTGAAGAAAGTATGAGGACACAGGAACCTCAGGGTCCTTGTCCTGCAAACAAGCAGCCCACCCAGCCCAGTAGTGCCTGCCTGTGGGCACTTAGTGGGTCCCGGCACCAAGTAAGGGACACTATGGGGTCCCAGACTGTCGGGGATTTTGCCCAAGCCCTGGACCCCACAGTCTCAGTGGAGCACCGTGTTTCAAGATGAGGTTATATGGATTTTTCATGTATGTATAATAATCAGAGAAAAAACACACACAAAGGAAGGAAAAGAAGGAAATTCCATGCAGTGCTTTCTTGGACTATGTTAAGGGGGAAGAATTACAAGTTACTTGTGTGTGCATGTTTTATTATTCCTATTTCTCAATAAATATAAAGGCCTTTATTGCATTTTTAAATAGCAATGTTTTCTGTATCCTTCTCACACTAAAACTCTTTAAGCCATAAAACGTATTTTTTAGTACCACAACATTTTCTTTTAGTTGAAAGGCATAGGCAAGGTTTGGTGGTGGCGTTAGAGACAGGAATGATGATTAGCAGAGAAAGAAAAGAGCTCCAGGAAGCTGTGCGTGCTCCCTGTGCAGGTCTCCCGCTAGATTGTGTCGGGGGTCCGGGTGGAGGGCGGGGTCACCTCTCCCACCCCTGTGTCATCCGACCTCCTGCTCCTCACAATGCCCAGGTGCACGGTGCCTTTTCACCCTGGGGTCCTAGAGACCTCCCCTATCTTCTGCACCTGTTTCACCATCCAGGGACCCGTCACCTGAAGTCTGCCCAGGTGAACGCTCACGTTAATCCACTTCTGTAGGACAAGCATAGATGCTCCGTATGGACACAACACAGCCTCATCAGAGAGCAGAAAACAGGCCTCAGGACCCCGTGGACCTGCCTCTGGGGATGTCAGGGGCCAAGGTCACCTTCTGGGCCCCAGGAGCCTCCCGGGTCCTGAACACCACCACCACCACCACCACCCCCTGTGAGCTTCTCCTCCCTCCCTCGGCCTCCCTGGCAGTCCCTGCTCCTGTGTCTGCGTTGCACATTCCTACAATGACACCTGGGAAGGCTGTGATGTGCAGATCTCACCTTGGCCCAGAGAGGACCTGGAGCTTGACACGTTTGGGGAAGATTAAATCAGACAGGAGTGTGCTGTCTTCCCCATATGAGCTGACTCAGTGACAAGGTCTGTTCCCAGGCCATCAGACACCTGCCCTTGCTCTCGGTCACGGTGCTCCGCTGCCTTTCTGTATGGCCTCCTGTCTATAGAGTTATGTCCCCGCACAGTCAGCGCCTGGGGTCAGTTAAGTGCACACACGCTGCAGTGCCCCTCGTTGGACTCAGGTGGCTCTCCCCTAGGCCATTGGAGAACAGAAGGATGACCTGGGGAAAGACCATCAGCATTTTCCCATGGTCTTCTGCCAAACAAGATGTCAACAGGTGTCTCTGTGTTGAATGTGTTCTGCAGGAACATGCCTCAGGGATGCAATAAGAGAGGACCAGGAAGGATTCAAATACAGAAAAGTGTCTGCATTCCAGGAAATCTCCTGCCCTTCCCCAGAAGTGCATCAGCAGCCTTGACATCCCCTTCCGGCCACACAGCAGGGTACAGCCACAAACATCATCCCCTGCCAGCTACGCCATGGAAGGTGCTATGGAAACAAAGCCTTTAAGTAGGGTCCTGAGTAAGGACTGTATTTTGTACGCCAGGGACTGAGTTTTGGTGAGGAAGGGTGTGAGTAGGAAGGTGACACTTATAGCTGGCGCAGCCACTGCCCCTTCTCAGCCAGGCCTGAGTCCAGGCTGCTCGGACAGCTGCTCAGATCAGTAGTGCAGGGGACGCTGTGAGCTTGGAGACTTCATTCTCTGACCCACATAAGCACCAGCCTGCAGGCCTCTCCCAGCTCATTACCCTTCACTGCTCATCCGGAGCTTTTCACTTAGGGAGAAGCTAATTCTATGAGGATCTGTCCTGTGGGTGAGGTTGGTTTGCAGTCCTGGTTCTGAGCCCGCTGGGAGTCTGTGCAACCACTAGTCGCTCAGGTGGTCACTGGCACACCAGCACACCTGCCCTGCAGGCACCTGACGGTGACGGTGCTGGCAGAGGAGCAGCACAGACTGCACACCCTGACCCTGCAGCGGGCCTTCCTTGGGGCCAACGGCATCGTATCCGGGTCAGGGATTACAAGACAGACAGGAGCTGGGGCAGGGACCTGCCCTTCTCTTGGCTCAGACACCTCCCGCAGGCCATCAGCTCCCCCAAAGCCACCTTTGCCAGGAAGACGTGGGAAAAGGCGTGAGGACAGCTCTTGGACCAGTGGTTCAGGGTATGGGGGGCTCAGGGGTTCAGGGGTCTCTGTTCCCCGGGAACCAACTATACTCCTGCTTCCAGTCCGTCCCTCCTGTGTTGGGGCTCTGGGCAAGTCACTTAACCCCTCTAAGTTTCAGTGCCCTCAACTGTAGAGTGTGGGTCACACCCTGCTCATCACGCCCCACAAGTGGGGACCACAGGAGATGACAACAGATACTCCCACGAGCTACAAAGCCCCTGCCCACGTAAAAGCTGGAAAGTGACCTCCCACCTTCCATGACTTGGAGCCATCCCAGCTTCCTCCCTGGAGGCCACCATGACTACATGTCTGGCTTATGCTTCCAGACTTTTAATAATTGAAGAGTTTTGTAACACTTAGGAAGTACCAGTCTTGTTATCCCATCTTCACTGGTATGGGGTCTTGATAAGCTTCGTTAACATACTACTGCTCTATAGGCCCCATTAGCATTTCAAAAACACACGATGGGGAACTGAGGGCAGAGGAGTGAAGTCACATTTCCACGTTCATGTGGCTTCTAAGTGAGATCCAGCCCCAGGCCACCAGGCACCTGCCCTGTGCTCCCAGTCCCTGTGCTCTGCTGCCTTTCTGCATCGTCTCCCTCAATAACGTCCCCACAGTCAGCCATCGGGTGTGTCCACACCACTCTGCAGGGTCCCTTGTCCTACGCCCAACTTCCACTCAGTTGGCTCCTCTAGGCAGCTGGTGACCAGAAGTGTGACCTGGGGAACATCATTAACACTTTTCCAAGGACTTCTGCCAACAACATGCCAATAGGGAGCTCCCATTTCAAATGTATCTTGCAGGATCACACCTCAAGAAAATATCAGAAAGGGTCCAAAGAGAGGATACACCAGAAAGGTGTCTGCATTCAAGGAAAACTACTGCCCCTCCCTACGAGGGGTCAGCAGCATCGCGTAACCAGCTCTATAAGCAAAAAACACTTTTTATAGGTTTTTTTTTTATATTTTAAGTTTTTAGGCCAGTGTGATCTGTTGACCAGAACTTTGTAAAAGTTCTTTAAAAAATGGCTAATATTAACTAAAAAATATAATATTCTAAAAGCTGACCAATGGTGCTGACTGGCCTCCTGTGTTATTCTTTTCACCTCCAAAAAATCCCCTCGACCCTGTTGTCAGGGGAGGCGGATTTGAGGTAGTTCATTCCTCCCCCTCCCAGCTGAAATGTCCACTGAAATAAATCCTGTCTTGACATCCTCGCTGTCTCAGTAACTGGCATTCTGTGCAGCTGGCCACATGGAACCCCCTTGTGGGTTCATTAACAACTGACATCCTCTTGTGGCCCCAATACAGGGTAGAGCCACAAACACCACCCCCTGCCAACTGCTTCATGGAAGGGACTGTGGACATGAAGCCCTTAAGCAGACGGCGGAGTGGGGACGGTAGTTCACACAGCAGGACTGAGTTTTGGTGAGCAAAGACGTGAGCAGGAAAGTGACACTCAGAGCTGCTGCAGCCACTGCCCCTTCCCAGCCAGGCCTGAGTCTGTGCTGCTCTGACAGTTGGCAGAACTTGAGTCAGAGGGACACTGGAAGCTTGTGGGCTGTATTCACTGACCCACCTAAGCACCAGCCCAACAGGCCAGTTTTTCAGTTAAATAGTCGTAACTGCTCAGCTTCCAGTCTGGCCAGTTGGAGGCACAGCTTATGTTTTGTGCAACTGTCATGGGGGCAGTTGGCTCGGAATGTCCTGGGTTCTGCGTCAGTTGGGAGTGGAGGAGACACTAGTCATTCAGGGAGGTTGCCTCATCACAGGGAAGTCTCACCAAGAGGCAGCTTTAGTGTCAAATGCTGGGAAGATGAACACAAAATGGGACGCTCCTGGTCCCTCCGGAGGGCTGCATTTGGGGGAAGCAGTGCATTTGGGGTCAGGGATTGAAATGTCAAGCCAGGAGTTGAGACAAGATGTGGACCACTCTCTTGGGCCAACACCTCCCCCAGGGCCTCACCTGTCTCCCTGCAGCATCCTTGGGGGAAGGAGGATTTGGGAAAGGAAGTGAGGAGGGCTCTAGGTTCTGTGTCCAGGAGTGACCTAGTGGTCCCCGGTGTTCAGGGATCTCTGCCCCCAGGGAACCAACTATATTCTCTGCCTTAGACTCATCAGTCCTCAGTGTGGTGACTCTGAGAAAGTCACTTAACCTTTGTCAATTTCAGTGCCCTGAACCATAAAACAGGAGTCACAGCTCCTACTCTGCCCACCCTACATCACAAGATAGATGTTTTCCACGAGCTATGAAGAGTCAGACCCCTGCCCATGGGGAAGAATGAGGCTCGGTCCTCCCCTGACCTGTCTCCTCCCGTGTTCCCTCCCTGGAGGTCACCAGTGCTAGGTGCCTTGGTTATTCTTCCGAAAATTGAACACTTACGTAGGTAGTACTTATGGTACAAGTCATTTTGTTCAGGCTTTGTATTTACTTATTTTTAGCCCCTTCACACAATGGTAACAAGCAGGCCCCGCCCCCATGCACATTTCCACACCCCAGAGCAGGGGAGGGAGGACAGAGGGGCTAAGGGACATTCCCAGAGACACATGGGTTTGATCTCAGGTCATCTGGCACCAGCACCCACACTCTCAGTCACTGCGTTGTGCTGACTTTCTACATTGTCTCATCTAAATAAAATGATTATTCCAACACTTCCTACATTGTGTCATCTAAATGAAGTGATTAGTCCCACACAATCAGCCTGGGGGTATTTTTAACACACACTGAACTGCAAGACCTTCCCAAGCCCTGCTTGAGTTCAGGTGACTCCTCAGATGTGTTTCCACTACCTTGCTGCAAGAATGCAAGAAAGAAAAGCAAACGTTAGTAATGGATTCAAACAAAGGTTGAACATCGATCCTCGGTGAAGAGAACACGCTGCCTGTCCCAGGAGTCTTTCAGCAGCATCACGAGGAGCATGTGGCCAAATGACAGGGCTGAGCCTCAGATGCCATCCCATACACCCTGCTCCACTGACGCCCTATGGGATTCTTTCACTAAACCGATGGAGAGCAGGCTTTCTGTTAGCCACTTGTTTGCCCCAGCTGTTATCCACCACCTCAACAGTAACAAAGTGACGCATTTGCCTGTAATTGTTTTTTACATTTGTGCCAGGGGAGAGGATTTTTGCTCTGGGAAAGTTCCAAATCAGGGTAAATACAGACAGTCTAACAAGTAGGGTGTTACAGGGTCCACCAAACAAGTTGATGAGTGATGAGTCTCTTAAAAAGTGAGGCTTTGGGGGCACTCCAGCCCCATTCTGCTCTGCCCAGTGGCTGCAGCGTTGCTATAAAAAGTCAGACCCCTGCCCATATGGAAGAGTAAGGCTCCGTCCTCCCCTGACCTGTCACCTCCCATGTTCCCTCTCTGGAGGTCACCAGTGCTACATGTCTTGCTTACTCTTCTAGAAATATAAAAATTGAACACTTACAGGTAATGCTTATGGAGTACCAGTCGTTTTTCTCCAGGCTTTGTCTGTATTTACTGATTTTGAACCTTCTAACATAAGAGTAATAAGCAAACCCTATTCACATTTCCACGTCCCAGAACAGGGGACTGAGAACAGAGGGGCTAAGGGACATTCCCAGGGACACGTGGCTTTTATTTCAGGTCCTCAGGCACCAGCACCCACACACTCAGTCGCTGTGTTGTGCTGACTCTCTGCATTGTCTCTTCTAAATAGATTATTTCCACACAATCAGTCTTATGGGATATTTTAAGTGGACCCCAAACAGCAAGATCTTTGTAAGCTCTACTTTGATTCAGGTAGCTCCTCTGAATGTATTTTCAGTACCTTGTTGCAGGAATACAAAAAAGAAATGAAAAAGATAATAACGAATGGATTCAAACAAACTTGCACATAAGGATTAATCCTCGGTGAAGAAAATGTGCCTCCTGTCCCCGGGAGTCAGTCAGCACCAGCAAAATGAGCAAAGGGCCAAATAACAGGGTTGAGCCTCAACTATGATCCCATACAACCTGCTGTATTGAAGTCATCGTGGGAATTCAATCACTTAAGTTGATTCCAGAGTAAGCTTGTTGTTAGTTGACTGTTTGCCCCGACTGTCAATGAGCACTTCAAGCTGTCACAAAGTTAAACAAATGCAGGTCATTGATTCGTGACAGTTGCATCAGGGAAAAGGCTTTTTGTTCTGGGCAAAGAGATAGTCCAGCAAGTGGAGTCTGCAGGGATCCCCCCCAGACAGGTCTGTGAGCGACAGGTCTCTAGGAATGGGGCGAACGGGGCATTGAGGGAGCTCCAGCCCCAGCCTCCTCCCTGCAGGGGCTGCCAAGTTGCTGGTCTTCACCGTGAGTGCAGCTGTTAGTTTTCTGACCTGCTTTGGGGCTACAGCCCAAGGGATAATGCTAGGAAAAGTGAAAACAGCACAAAACTCATAATTATTACAGAAATTCAGCTATTTTCCCCCCGGAATTGACGTTTTTCTCTATTGTTGCAGGTTTGGGTTAATCTCCAGAGCTCTGAAAATATTGATGGTGACCATTTTTTTCCAGTTTTTTCATTGCTTTATTGGAGGAGAGAATTTCTGGAGGTTTTAACCTGCCATTGCTGCTACAGTCATTCACTACATGATAGTCTTTTGCATACCCTCAGGCCATAGTCTATGGCTAATCTTATGTAATAGTCACAATTCTCTGAGTCAGTGGAGTCTCAGTACTGTGCAAATCCTGCTGTTTGCTTGGTTAATTAATTACAAGTTGTTCACTGATTTAGAAAAAGCTCCAATCGCACTGGCCTCCCAAGCCCTCCTCCTTAAACTTTCCTTATCACGTCCTGATTCCAACCATATGCTGCTCTCCCTGCAGGAAATATTCCATCCACCCCAGCCATCACCCGGGCTCCAGCCCACTCACTCTGAACCGGTTCTGCAGATGGGAGCTCAAGTCAGCACCTCCTCCAGAAAGCCTCTGAGACCCCCCTGCTGAGGGCTATACACAAAATGTTTCGATGTTTGTCTTGTGAGGCTATTTTAAGTGTATCTCTCAAATAACAACTAAGACCCGTGGAGGCAGAGGATGTAAAGTTCTTACTTTCCTGTGTAGCCTGCACGTTCCTCCACGTACCTGTTAAGCAGACAGGACTGAGGCTCTCAAGATACAGAGAACTGAGGACAACTGCTTACAGAGGGGAGGGTGCAGAATCTGAGTCTACATGGCCTGCTCAATGCCCAGCTCTGCCAGCGAAGCCATGCGACCCAAGGCAGGATCAGGGCCTCTGAGTCAGTGTCTTCATCTTGGAAAGATGAGTGACCGTATTAGACCACCATCCTCAAGGGGAGATTTTTGAGGATAAATAGTGCCATTCATGTAAGGTACTTGGGACATGCCTGTCATGCTACTGTAAAATAAAATAGAAATCTCAGTACCACCTCCCCCCAACTCCTGTGCAAAGGGGAAGGAGGCACCTGTGAAGGACTTGGCCCCACAGGTCATTCATCAAGGAAATTCCTTGCTGGCCTCCCATAAGCAAGGACGTGCAATTGTACCTTTAGATCTCTGCAGGCTATTCCAGCTCCCAAAACGAAAGTCTGTGCAATTCCACACTAATATTGAATTCTAAATTTATCTTCCCAGGTGCAGCACAGAGACAAGACAGGATCAAACATCCTTCCACCTACCCAAGGACATCTACATAATTGATGCTTCCTTCACTCCCTTTTTCCTCTTCTACCATTCACCCTGTCTTATGTGAAATGCAGACTTTCCTGAGTCTCACAAGAATGGAACCATTTGTCTCACTACGCATCCACTCCACACTCTTTTTTTTCCCTTTCTGTATGCCCTATTCCCCTGGTTAAATTAAATACTGAAATTTCCAAATTCCCCTTGAGAAAAAACAGTCAGAGATTTGTCTGTGTGTGGTTTGTATTTTTCATGGGCATGTCCTCAACTTTGGCTTAATAAGCCTTCATTGATTGAGATTTTGGCCTCGGCCACTTAGTTGTCACTGCCCTTCATTAAATGTTTTTGGTGGCCTGGACCCACATCACTGAGTCACGTCTTCTGGGCAAGCTGTGGTCACTCAGCAGGCAAGACCTCTGCACAGCTCTGAGCTGCTCCTTGGGGACGGTGTCGTCACAGCTGTCTTTCCCCATGGTCACAGTCAGGACCTCTTTCATGGGCACGATTATCCCAGTTCTCTGTGGTGGGCCTGAAGTTATTTCATAAAACATGGGTGCCTAAAGCTGGAGGTTTCTACTGAAGTCTAGGGGAGCTGCTATTGAGCAGCTCTGCGGAGGCACTACCCTCCTTCCCAGAGTGACTGTACCATCTCTCAGGGTTCTCCCAAAGACCCTATTCAGGCTCGTGTACCCAACGTGCAGCCAAAACAAAACACTGTAACACCAGTGCTTGGAGACTGAGAAAGTTTTATTCAATTTGGCCAAAGTGAGAGGACAGACAATCTCTCAGATCTGGCTTGTCACAGGCATGAGGTGGGGAGGCTTTATGTGGTGACTAAGGAGGAGGGGGTCACTTGTGAGTAAGGAGAAGGGGTCCCAGGTGACTGAAGGTGACATCTGTGTTTCTTCAGTCTCCGGTAGCATCCTGAGCAGCCAGACTTCCAAGCGTCGGCAGCTAATCTCCCCAAGGCATCATTCCTTCTGCAAAACAATCTCATAAAATTCTCTTGTGACTCTGGAGTTATCTCATACTTCTTGACAAAAAATCAAAAACAAAAAGCAGTACCCTAGTACCCAAGCAGGTAATGATTACTGAGAGAACAAAGGGTTCTGGGCAGGAAGCAAGTGATTAACATGCATAAACAACCAAAGGCCTACTTCAATTTTACATTATTTAGGTCATTAAAAATGCCAGGGTACTAAAATCTCAAGGGACCCAGTTATAACCTCACCCAGGTTCCTGCACATGTCCCAAGCACTTACTGACATTTGTTCAGTTTGTCCAAACTTGTAAATCTGCAGAGGGGCCAAGTTCCTTCTCCAAATTCAGGCCAAAATGCATGACTAATCCTATATCCACTGAAGACCTGGAATGAGTGATTAGAACAATTTCCCGAGGAATACAACTCACACACATATCCATAGAGATAAATTCTAACATATATGCAATGAACACATAATTCTAAACAGACACAACATTTTCTACTGAATATAAGAGTGTTGATAAAAAATGAGATAAGACAGAAATATAAATAACATGTAAGGTTTATTGACCACACAGTTTTTAAAAAACAGAAAATGGAATTCTGTGACATATAAATACCATAGATTCTGACCAATAAGGTTTTCCCTCTAAAATGCAGTGATGGATTAACATTGTGAATTCAATAGATATTTCTTATGTATATGTATTTAATAATATAATTCACCTGTTTTGGAGATTCAAAAAGAAAGCAATATTATCCCAATAAATCAATAAATATAATTTTAAAAATAATAACACTAGATATAAATTTATAAGACAACTATTCATAGCAATTTTTAAACAATTTAGAATAGACACTGTAGTTAATTTTGCTTTAGGGATAATTGTACTTCTGGTCAAAATCAAGACAAGAATATGCATAACACCAACTTATTTCTAATATCTATATTGAGGTATGATCATGCCATAAGATTAATCAATTGTGTGTAAAATTCAATAATTTTAATAAACAGAGACCATAATTGCAATCCAGTTTAAAAACATTTCCATCGCCCAACAACTTCCTTCATGGAATCTTACTTCTTTAACTAACTGTAATGTTTTTGACCTTCATCCATATTGTACCATGTATCTCTGGGTTTTTTTTTTCCTTTTTATTACTGAGTAGGTCTCCGTTGCATGGACATACCATATTCATTTATCTATTCACCAGTTGACAAATGCCTGTGATGTTTCCACCTTTGTCTATAATGAATAATACCACTGACAACGTTCATGTTCAAAACTTTTTGAGAACATACATTTTCATTTCTTCTGGGCAAATGCCTAGGGGCGAAATTGCTAGGTCAATTGCTAGGTTTATGTTAACTTCTTAAAAAGCTGAAAAACTCTTTCCAAATTCCAATATACAACAGTGGTGTGCAGGTTACAGCCAGTGAGAAAAAATATATATATGAGGACTGGGAAGAAAGGAATAAAGATTCCTGCAAGTCCCAAGCACAAAAAGATCGAAGAAATAATTGTTAGAATTAATAGATGTTTGACAAGGTGGCAGCAATTAGAACATCATATAATAGTTACATGTTTTTTATCCTCAATAATCAGAAATTTTATTTGGAAAAATAACACTTTTAATAACAATGAAATGTTAAGAATTCTAAGAATAAACATAACATTTTTCAAGCCACTTTTGACCATTTAGATGTCTGTGCAGGATTATAGGCAAAAAGAGAGTCAGTCAATATAGTATTTTAAGCAGGGGAGTGCCAAGACTCAATCTGAGTTTGTTTTGTTTGTTGGTTTTGGTTTTTTGTTTTTCTTTGACACAGGCTTTCTCTCTGTCCCTCAGGCTGGAGTGCAGTGGCACAATCATAGCCCACTGCAGCTTCAAACTCCCAGGATCAGGGTATCATCCTGCCTTAGCCTCCCAATTAGGTAGGACTGCAGGTGTGTGCCACTACGCCAGCTAATTTTTTAATTTTTTTAGAGACAATGTCTTGCTATGTCACCCAGGCTGATCTGGAACTCCTGGCCTCAAGTGATCCTCCCACCTGGTCTTCCCAAAGTGCTGGGATTCCATGCACGAGCCACCATGCCCAGCCCCCAATCTGAGTTTTCAAAAGATCTCTAGGCTTACCAGGTGCAACTTCATTTCAGGGACACAAACCCCATGTAAGGACGATCCTTAGATATATATGGAGATGTTGAAGGGGTGGATCCCATCTCAAGAAGACACCATCCTGCTGTGACATGCAAACGCGCAGAGGCTGAAGTTACCGCAGGTGAGAGCACACTGGTGGTGCCGAGGGGCAGGGGAAGGACTGGGCAGCTGTGTCCTGTGCAGGGTCTTCAGGGAGAAAAGGAGGTGGTGCAGGTGCAGGGAGGCAGAGAGATGGAGCGGGGAGGGCAAGAGAGGGAGTCCTTGGCCCTGTGGAGTTGGGCTGGGAGCTTCTCCCTCCTCTTCTCCTTCTCCACTCAGTCCCCCTCCAATTCAGGATGCTTTTTTCTTAGTCTTCACAGCTGACTCCAAGGGAAAGGAACCAGTCCTGGCCCAATCCCTAGAGTAAACGAGGGCATTTGGTAAGCCCTCTCTCCATGCTGGGCAGCTTAATTTTTTTTATAAATATATCATGCATATATAAAGATCATGCAGATATAAAAATCAGGGGCGTTGATTTGTAACTCCACTTTAAAAGACAAATGCATTAAAAATAGCTATAATCTAATCATAAATCTATGAGAGTGGGTACACAATAGACAAAGATGCAATTTGTGATATCAGCAACATAAAATGAGCATGCAGTATTTCTTTTGGTTTCTTATATACTGCATTTAAATTTTTTTTTTTTTTTGAGACAGAGTCTCGCTTTGTTGCCCAGGCTAGAGTGAGTGCCATGGCGTCAGCCTAGCTCACAGCAACCTCAAACTCCTGGGTTCAAGCAATCCTCCTGCCTCAGCCTCCCGAGTAGCTGGGACTACAGGCATACGCCACTATGCCCGGCTAATTTTTTCTATATATATTAGTTGGCCAATTAATTTGTTTCTATTTATAGTAGAGATGAGGTCTCGCTCCTGCTCAGGGTGGTTTCGAACTCCTGACCTTGAGCAATCCGCCCGCCTCGGCCTCCCAGAGTGCTAGGACCACAGGCGTGAGCCACCGCGCCTGGCCTGCATTTAAATTTTTAAGGGTACATTATGGTACTGTCAATTATGGGTGCAATATTGTACAACAGATCATAGAACTTATTCATCTTGCTTAACTGAAACTTTATGCCTGTTGTTTAGCAACTCCCCGTTTCCCCCTCCCCCCCCCACTGTCCCTGGCAACTGCCATTTCATTCATTGATTCTATGTATTTGACCATTTTAGATACCTCATGTAAGTGGAATTATGCAATATTTGTCCTTCTGTGACTGGCTTATTTCACTTAGCACAATGTCCCCAAGATTCATCCATGTTGTCACATATGGCAGAATTTCCTGCTTGTTAACAGAATAATAATACTTCATTGTAGGTACATACCACATTTTCTTTATCCGTGCATCTGCTGATTGACATTAAGTTGTTTCTGTGTCTTAGCTACTGTGAATATTACTTATGAACATGGGAGTGCATACACTTCTTTGAGATGCTAATTTCAATTCTTTTGGATAAATACCCAGAAATGAAATTGCTATTTGATCATATAGTATTGTTTTATTTTTAACTTTTTGAGTAAGCTCCATACTGTTCTACATAGCAGCTGCAACATTTTTCATTCTCATCAACAGTATATAAGGATTCCAGTTTCTCCACATCTTTGCTAATTCTTGTAGTCTTTTGTTTTTTTGTTATTAGCCATTCTGCCAGGTATGAGGCAATATTTCATAGTGGTTTTGATTTGCATTTTCCCTGATGAATAGTGGTGTTGAACATTTTTTCATATACCTGTTGGCCATTTGTATGTCCTTTGGAGAAATGTCTGCTCAAGTCTTTAGCTCATATTTAATTGGGTTATTGGGGAGTGTGGTTGCTAATGAGTAGTAGGAGTTTCTTATATATTTTTGGAAATTAACCCACTGCCTCTATTCAACAGTATTGGAAGTCCTAGCCAGAATAATTAGGTAAGAAATAGAAATAATTAAATTGCATCCTGATTGGAAAAGAAGAAGTAAAATTATCTCTATTCACAGATGACATGATCTTATATGCATAAATTTTAAATTTCTACACCTGCCAAAAAGTTAGCTCTAATAAAGGAATTCATCAAAGTTGCCGTATACAAATTCAATATGCAAAACTCAGTTGTATTTCTATACACAAGTAATGAACAATTCATAAGAAAAAGTAAAAAAAATTCATATAACATTAGCATCAAAGAAGATAAAATACAGGAACTAGCTAACTAAGGATAGGAAGTATTTGTAAACTGAAAACTACAAAACATTGCTAAAGGAAATTAAGGAAGACATAAATAAATGGAAAGACACCACATGTTTATGGATTGGAAGACTTAATATTGTTAAGAAGACAATACTGTACTACCCAAAGTGATCTATACATTTAATGCAATACCTATCAAAATCCCAACAGTGATTTGTTTTTGTTTTTGTTTTTGTTTTTTTGCAGAAATAGAAAAACCCATCCTAAAATTCATACAGAATCTGAAGGGACTCTGAATAGCCAAAACAATCTTGAAAAAGAAGACCAAAGTTGGAAGACTCACACTTCTTGATTTCTTCAAAGCTACAGTAATCAAATCAGTATGATAATTTTTAAGGACAAAAATGTAGACAAATGGAATAGAATAAAGAGTCCAGAAATAAACCCTTGCATATATGGTCATATGGTTTTCTGTAGGATGCCAGACCATTCAAGGAGGAAAGAACTTGGCATACTGTCCTCAAAGTTCATCCACATTGCCACATGTTTCAGAATTTCCTGCTTTTTTTAAGGAATAATATCCTATTGCATGTATACATCACATTTTCTTTATCCATGCATCTGCTGATGGACACTAAGTTGTTTGTGTATTATTTCAACACTGGGAAAACTGGATATCCACATGCAAAAGAATGAAGTTGAAACATTACCTAACACTATATACAAAAATTAACTCAAAATGGATCAAAGATCTAAATGTAATTCTAGAAGAAAATGTTGGAAAAACTCTTATAGACATCCGCCTGGGCAAATAATTTATGAAGAAGACCCCTAAAGCAATCACAGTAACAACAAAAATAAATAAATGGAAATTGACCAAATTAAAAAGCTTCTGCACAGCCAAGGAAACAATCAATACAGTGAATAGACAGCCTACAGAATGGGAGAAAATATTCATATGCTACACATCCAAAAAAAGGGCTGATAACCAGAATCTATAGAGAACTCAAGCAAATCAGCAAGAAAAAATCAAACAATCCCATTAAAAAGTGGGCAAAAGACATGAACAGAAAGTTTTCCAAAGAAGATAATGTCCAATAAACATGAAAAAATGCCCAATGTCTCTAATCATCAGGAAAATGCAAATCAGAACCACAATGAGACATCATTTAACTCTGGTGAGAATGGCTTTTATCAAAAAGTCCCAAAACAACAAATGCTGGCATGGATGTAGAGAGATAGAAACACTCATACACTGCTGATGGGACTACAAACTAATACAACCATTATGGAAAGTAGTATGGAGAAATCTCAAAGAACTAAAAGTAGAACTACCATTTGATCCAGAAGCCCACTATTGGGTATTTATCCAAAGGGAAAAAAAAGACTTTCTATCAGAAAGACATCTGCACCTGAATGTTTATAGCAGCACAATTCACAATTGCAAAGATGTGGAAACAACCCAAGTGCCCATCAATACATGAGTGGGTTAAGAAAATGTGGTATATGTATGTCATGGAGTACTACTCAGCCACAAAAAAATAGTGAACTAATACCTCTTGTACTAACCGGAAGGAATTGGAGACCATTCTTCTAAGCAAAGTATCAGAAGAATGGAAAAACAAATACCACATGTACTCAACATTAAGTTAGAATTAATCGATCAACACTTATGTGCACATATGGAAATAACATTAATCAGAAATCCAGCAGATGGGAGGGAAGAGGAGGGAATGGGTAAATTAATACCTAACAGGTACAATGCACACCATCTAGGTGATAGACACACTTATAACTTTGACTCAACAGTACCAAAGCAATTTATGTAGCCAAAACATTTTGTAACCCCATAATATTCTGAAATAAAAAAAATTTAAAGATTTAAATATAAGAGCTAAAACTATAAAACTCTTAGAAGAAAATATAGGGGACAAGCTTTATGACATTGGGCTTGGCACTCATTTCTTAACTATGACATTAAAAGCACAGTCAACAAAAGAAAAAATAAATTGGACTTTATCAAACTTAAAAACTTTTGTGCATCAAAGGACTCTATCCAGGGAGTGAAAAGGCAAACCACAGAATGGGACAAACATTTTCAAATCAAATATTGATAAGGGATTAATATCCAGCATATATAAAGAAATCCTACATTTCAACAACAAAAACACCACATTATTTTAAAATGGGCAAAGGCCTTGAATATGCATCTCTTCAAGAAGATACACAAACGGCCACAAGCACATGCAAAATGCTCAACATTATTAGCCACTATATTAGAAATGCAAATCAAAACCTCAATGTAATATCCACTTGACACCTACTAGTATGTCTATAATTCAAAAAATAACAAGTCTTGAGGAGGATGTGGAGAAATTGGCACTGTTACGCATCGTGGAGGGAACATAAAATGGTGCAGCTGCCATGGAAAACAGTTTGACAGTTCCTCAAAAAGTTAAACACGTCTCTCCCTACACCTCTCTCCACCTGGTCAAATCTCCTTAAAGACCCTGTCTTTGCACTCAGTGAGCATCCCACCCTCCATCCCCATCCCACCTCCACTACACACCCCCTTCCTGGCCCCCCGCCCCTCATTCTCACACTCTACCTAGGCCAACACTGACCACTGGAGGGCTGGGGTGGCAGAGCTTCAGAGGAGAGGTTTAAAGTCCTCCAGCAAAGGAGCTGGCACTGATATCTCGCCCCACCTGCTTGAGGCTGATGATTAACCCAGAGCTTATATAAAGACGGGGTCATCTCCAGGATGGGGAAAGCGCCACCTGCAGCCATGGCCAGCACGCTAAGCCCCAGCACCGTGGCTGGGACCCCAGAGCCGCCTGCACTGTCAGAGCGCCTCCAAAACCCTGCAGACATCTCTGTCATTGTCATCTATTTTGTGGCAGTGATGGTTGTCGGGCTGTGGGTATGTGGGAAACCAGAGGGCTTGCAGGGTGGGCGGGCACAAGATTGGGGGGAAGGGCGTATTAGGGAGGGAAAGGTGTGGTGTGACAAAGCTGAGACAAGATTAAGAGCTTTCACAGATGTCATTGTCTATCAGAATCATTTTCTTGTGGGTGACATAAATAGTGCTCACACTAAGTTATTCTAACAACCCCGTTGTGTGAGCACAGCCAGGACTGGGACTTTCAGGCTGAACTCTGTTTGGTGTCCCCAGCATCCTGGCATAATGAATAAAGACTTTATTAGCTCATTTCTTTTACTTTCTTTTGCCGTTTGCTCACTATCTAACTTAGTGAGTAGGACATTTAATCCATTCTTTAGTTCTGGGGATGAGTTTGAGTCTACAGATTTTCTTCCAAGCATGGGTTTAGCCACCTCTGGCACTGAGTAGATGAAAATAAACAAGGCAATTAGGACAGAAGTTGAGGAATGTGATTTCTCAAGTTCTTTCCAATTCAGATTTTATGAAACTGTGATTTTTAAACTCCTTTTTTAATTTCAAAATATTAAGGGGGTACAAATGTCTTAGGTTACATGTATGACTTTTGTAATGCTTGGGTCCCAGCTAAAGGTGTGCCCATCACCCAAATGGTGTTCATAGTAACTTTTAGGTAGGGTTTTTTCCCCTCTCCTCCTCTCTCCTCCCCCTTGGTTGATTTCCACAGAGTTTTGCTTCCCTCTATGCACATGTGTGCTCACTGGTTAATAGTGGGTACAATTTAATAGTGAGTACATGTGGTGTTTGTTTCCATTCTTGAGACACTTCACTTAGGAGAATGGTCTCCAGTTCCATCCAGATTGTTGCAAAAGGTATTGATTCATCTTTTTTGTGGCTGAGTAGTACTCCATGGTATACATATGCCACATTTTACTAATCCACTCATGAATTGATGAGCACTTGGGTTGATTCCACAGCTTTGCAATTGTGAATTGTGCTGCAATAAACGTTGGCATGCAAGTGTCTTTTTGGTGAAAAGTTTTGGGGTTTTTTTCCCTTTGGGTAAAAACCCAATAGTGGGATTGCTGGGTTGAATGGCAGGTCTACTTTTAGTTCTTTGAAGAATCTCCATACTGTTTTCCATAGAGGTTGTACTAATTTGCAGTCCCACAAGGATGCCATATTACAGAATACAGGAAAACGTTTCTCTCTGTAGGAGTGCAGGAAAAGTCAGCACCCTCAGCATCCTGCACCGTCAGCACCTTGGCCAGAGCATCATGGCTGTCTTGGGTGGGTCTGCTGTGATTTGACCCCCACCTGTTTTCCCTTCTGCTCAGGCAATGCTGAAGACCAACCGGGGCTCCGTGGGAGGCTTCTTCCTGGCTGGCCGAGATGTGGCTTGGTGGCCGGTAAGTGGACCAGAGTTTCCTGGAGATAAATTTCCTGGGTGTGTGTTTAAGAGTGAAGATAAAACACTTAGGGATGTGATCATTTCTGATGTACCTTGCTTGCCCCTTTCCGGTGGCTCTTTATTTCTAAATCCCTGACCTCAAGGCTCTGTCCTGCATTAGTTATGAGAGCAGGATTAGTCTGGCAATTAAGAACACCCTCAGTTCAACTCCATCTCACGTTCTTTTCCCCAGCTCCTCATCAAGAACTGTCTCCCTGGCTTCTCCCTATCCCCACACATTCCTCCGTGGTTCCCAGTCCTGAGTTCAGTCTGTCCCTCTGGTCTGGATTGTCTCCTGTCACCACTCTCTTCCTTAAATGCCTGGCTCAAGCCCTTCCTCATTTCGGAGTCTCCCAGCTCACTCCAGGCCCCCCTGGGTGTCTAGTCCTTCTGTCCTATGCAATTAGCGGTAGTGGGTGGTGTTCCCTGTTATCGTGCTAGTGGTGATGATGTCTCTGACTCTTGCCTAGTGGGTGTTCTCCCTGCCGGGTGTTCTCCCTGCCCCTCAGCCAAAGTCTCACTGCAGCAGAGACTGCCTCTTCCTCTCTGAACCTGGAATGTGTCAGCAGTAGGTTGGATATACAGTGGGTGCTCAGTAAATGCTTCCTTCACAGATCTGTTGCCTCGTGTTCTAAATAATATAAAGGGAAGTGGAGATGGTCAGGGATGGTTGAAGCAGACCAACTGCAAGCTCAAAATGAAGCTTCATTGGGGGCACCCAACCAGACATTGCCCTCGTAGGTCTGTTTTCTTGAAACATTCAAGGCTCAACCAATCCTAAAGCCACAAACCAGCTTGATCCCATCCTCTGTCCCCAAATATCTGAATAGAAAAAGCTGATTTTACAGAAAGGTCAAAAAGGTAGGAACAGAAGCAGCACTGCAGGTTCTACACCCAGTTCTGTTCTGCCAGGACTGGTGTTCATCCACAGCCACTCAAGAGATCTCTCTTGACCTTTGAGTCATAAGAATAGCAGGCAGGCCTGGCGTGGCAGCTCATGTCTATAATCCTAGCATTCTGGAAGGCCAGGGCAGGAGGATCTCTTGAGGCCAGGAGTTCCAGACCAGCCAGAGCTGGTCTGGAAAAAATAGTCTACAAAAAATAGAAAAATTAGCCAGGGATGGTGGCTTGTGCCTGTAGTCCCAGCTACTCAAGAGGCTGAGGCAGGAGGATCACTTGAGCCCAGGAATTTGAGGTTGCTGTGCGCTACAATGATGCCACTGCATTCTAGCCTGGGTAACAGAGCAGGATTCTGTCTCTGGAAAAAAAAAAAAAAAGCAGGCAATGTGCTGGAAAGGGAGATGAATGAGAATAGGGTCCCATGGCTGGGAGGACAGAGAGGAACTCCCTCCTACTCAGCCTCCGGGTCTCTGAAGCTGATAAAAGGGCAAGAACTGATGGGAGGTCTAGCAGTATGTGGCCAAGGACAGGCTCAAACCAAAACATTTAGATAGATAGAACAATGTTTCCCTAAGGCAGAGGTCAATGAGCTTTTCTTTAAAAGACAAGGTTGTCATTATTTTGGGGACTATGGCTCATATAGTCTATTGCAACCACACAATCCTGCCATTGTAAGACAAAAGCAGCCATAGACAATATGCAGACACTGAAATTTGATTCATATGATTTCACATGTTCACAATTTCACATTTCACAAAATATTATCCTTTAGACTTTTAACCATGTTTTTAATCCCTCAGAAATGTTTAAAAAAAAAACATTCTTGGCTTATGGGCCTTACCAAAAATTGGTGACAGGCTGGATTTAGCCCATGGGCCATAGCTTGCTGACTCCTGTTCTCAAGAGTAGAGATTGAAACATCTCAACATCTATCTGCTTTCAAGAAGTTTCATTTGGATCTTTTAACTCCAACCCTGGAACATCCTCTTGCATTCCAGATGGGTGCCTCTCTCTTCGCCAGTAACATCGGCAGTGGCCACTTCGTGGGGCTGGCTGGGACCGGAGCATCTTCGGGAATCGCCACTGTAACATTTGAATGGCACGTAAGTGACATCCCAGGCTTTTCCCTTTAAATCAAACCATATCCTTTCAACCAAACCCATAGTCTTTACTATGTTTTATGCTGCTATACCCAAATACCACAGACTGGGTATTTTACAAAGAACAGAGGTTTATTTCTTATAGCTCTAGAGGCGGGGAAGTCCAAGGTTGAGGGGCCTGCATCTGGTGAGGACCTTCCCTTCTTACTGTGTCATCCCATGGTGGAGGGGGGGAAGAGGAATAGACAGTGAGAGAGGTAGAGAAAGAAAGAGGGGAGAGAGGGAGAAGAAGGTGGAACTCACTCTTTTATCAGAAACCCACTCCCTTGATAATGGCTTTAGTCCATTCATGAAGTCAGAGCCATCATGACCTTATCACCTCTTAAACGTGCCACCTCTCAACACTGAGGATTAAGCTACCAACACGTGAACTTTGGGGGCCACATTCAAAACCTAGCATGCATGTATTTTAATCAAACCCATATCCCAGGTTTTTCTGGGAGTCCACGCAGGATGCTCCTTTCAGTTTGATTTGCAGTTTTCCCCCTCCTAGCCCATTCCTGTCTGCGCTCAGCACCTCCGTGGCCCCCATTCTGCCTGGGCCATTCCAGTCACATCACTACTCACCTCTAAGCGTTGTCTCAAGCAGATTTCCTCCCAGGAATGTCATTTCTGTATGATTCAATCCCTACTGTCATTTGATCTTCTTGACCATCTTAATTCTCACTTTTACCTCTCCTCCCTGAGCTATTACACAGTGTGTCCAGCCCTGAAGTAGATCCAAGAAATTTTAAAATGTTAAAGCAATGGTTCCTTTTTGGGGGGACCTTCCATTCCAGCGGGAGAGACAGACCTGCATTCACTGCAGCGTAGAAAGCACAGGGGGGCAGCACACAGGAGGACTGACCAAGCTCACTGGAGGGACGGACACCATAGGTGGTGTGTGGGCTCGGCACGTGTCAGGGAGCTCCCTGGTGCTGATGCCGGAGGAGGAGGAGAAATTGTCCAATGGGGCCTGACCGTGGCAGTGACAGTGAGGTAAGGGGTGAGTGATGGGGGCGATAGGAGGTAGACTCTGCCGGAGTTTGCAATCGAGTTCCTAACTGCTCTACTATCATTTCAGCAGTAGAATCTATGCCCCCCTAATTGGACCCTCTGTTCCTTAAGGACAGGGACCACGTCATGCTTCCACTCGTACCCCATCATCTAGCACTTGGTGAATGTGCCGTCGATACTTCTTGTGCTGCCTGAGTTTGTTCTGTTCTTTCGTCTTACTCCTTGTAGTGCTTTCATGCGCCTGTGTGTGCATATGGGTCAGAAGAGGATGCTTGTGTGGAAGGAAGTTGAATCGTAGCAGAAGGTTAAACAGACCAACCCTGGATGGGCTCAGAAAGTGACCTCGAGTCATCACGAATGCCTGCGCCCCTCCCTTGCTGAACATTTTGCCCCTGCTTTGACTTTAGTAGTATCAGGGACTGCAGAATGGTGCCTGGGCTTCACCTGGCCTATTACCCAGCCTCCAGCTATGTCCTATGGCCAGAGTTGAGTTCTGAAAGTGCCATGCGCTCCAGAATGAAGCCAGCCTTCAGAGGCATGGACACAATGACCTATGGCCCACGTGGGGGAGGTTATCAGACTACAGAGAATGCAGCTACTGCTCTTTTAGCCTGTGACCTTGGGCTTCCTTAATCTCTGTGAAGCTCGGGTTCCCCCTTGGTGAGGTAAGAGTAACCATGCTTATCTTATCTGCCTCTACTGGTTGTCGTGAGAGCAACACAAATGATGTTTGTGCAGACTCTCTAGGCATTGCATATTCATGTTACATTATGTTGTTATTATTATTATTCATATATGTGCAAGATTTGGGGGCCACTGGGGATATTCTTCTACCACCAAATTTTTTTTTCATTGCTTTGTCACTAAGTTTAGTATTCCCAACATTCAAGAAAAATTCCTTTTGACAAAGATTGTATGATGTTCCGGTGGTCCAGCTGAGCTCAGATCTCTTATCTTCTGCCCATTTCTCACCAGACATCTTTTGCCTCCAATTCATAGAAACAGGAAAAAGGAGCACACAGTTGTCCGGGAATTACAGGTGTTTGAGTGGGACAGTATCTAAGCAAACTTTTTTTTTTTTTTAGACTCAGAGGTCATACAATGACAAGGTCCACAAGCCAAGCCTCTTTAACGTCACACTCACTTTTTTTTTTTTTCTTTCTTGCAGTCTTCAGTGCTGCTACTGGTTCTAGGGTGGATCTTTGTCCCCATCTACATCAAGTCAGGGGTGAGTATCCTCAGGTGTTCCAGAGGAATGTGTCGGGCCTTCATTTATTCACTCATTCTCTCTGTTCAGTCATGAAATCTGGGTGCCTGGGCTTCACCTGGCCTATTACTAGAAATACACAGGAGACAAAAATCAAGTTCCCTGCCTAGAGGGGCTCCCAGTGTAGAACGTGGCTGCGGCCAGGCGAGGAATCAGTGGTGGCCCTGCACAATGACCACTGTGATAGAGTCAGCCAGTGCAGGAACACGGACGCTGAGCCACCCCTGTGCTTCACGAAAAGCTTCTCAGAGGTGACCTGACTTGAGCCTTGAGTGATAAGAGTCATCTCCGTAGGTAGAAAAGCTGCATCACGGAGGGTTAGGGAAAACAATATAAGGAACCTGAAAAATCATGAAAGGACTTGGGGTATTTGGGGGTCAGGTAAAATTACAGTTAAAATCAAGAGTGTCCAGGGTCCCTCAATCTTGGCACTACTGACACCTTGGGCCGGAGAGTGCTTTGTTGTGGATGCTGGTCTGGGCATCACGGGACAGGACATTAGGCGGGACCCTGGGCTCAACCCACTCGATACCAGGAGCACCCGCCATTTTCAAATGTCCCCTGTTGGGAGTTAAAGTCTTACAATTGCCACCTTTTAGAAAACATTGCCCTAATACCACTTGCCCCTAGATGTCTGGGCTTGCATCTACAAGAATCCACCAAGTGCTGCCAGATTGCTCTTCAGAGTGGCTGCAGACAGCTGTCGACTGATCACTATTAGTGCGAGAGTTCTCACCCATGGCATTTTCCTTCATTCCAATTTTTGCCATTCTGACAGTTGTCACTTCTTTGCTTAATTAGGGACAAGATATACTATAACCGTGGCAGCGTCCCTCAACCCAGGTGTTGCCAACCAACGGAGGCACTGCCCTGTCTCTCTAAGCCTGGTTCATTCCTTCTCCTGCTGGTGCTTAGAACATGGGGTGCTAGATCCTGGGGCAATTCCTGGGATGAGGGCGCGGAGGGGGCAATCCTGGCTAGTGCCTTGCAGGCCCCCATATATTCACCCTTTGCTCATCCAGGGCCCCTTCTAGTTCCAGACTTGAATAAGCTCTGCTGAAAAATGCTGTCTTTGGTACAAGAACTCATGACACAGAAATCATGCGTGTGTTCGTAAATGTGGCTTACCTTCTTTCAGAGTTTCCTCCCAGTTTCTGGTCCACCAAGAGTTCCCCTTCTTGTTTTTGATAATATAATATAAATATTTATTTGACCTCCTTTTATACTGGGGGAGACTAAATCATGGCTTAATCTGCTATGAAGAAACCAGAAAGCTGCACCTTTTATGCCATACATCGCAAAGTTGATCTCAAACTTCACGGGTTTTTCTCTAAGTAAAGGGTTAATGCGATTCTCTTCCTTTCAATAAAGATAATTAAATAAATACACACCCAAATGTATATTATCAACTTGTTCAATTATCAGCTTATTGTGCCATTACAATTTTGGTGTCTACTAGATATTTGATGTTGTAGGTACTTCACCTGTACCTTCATATTGAACCCCCATTTTACAGATGAGAAAACAGAGACCTGGAGACATTGTCATTTGCTAGAGGTCACACATCTAGTAAACACTGGAACTGGGAAGAGACCCCAAGTTCGCCTGACTCCTACGCCTGCATTCATTCCCGCATTGCCACCCTCCCAGGGACGATGCCTCCCCCACCTCTGCATTCCATGTGCCACACATAGTGCTCACCTGCTCACAGGTGCTCAGCGAATGTTGAGCAATCTGGATGCGCGGGGCTCTGAAGGTGAATCCCTGTCGATGTCTGCCCCTGCAGGTGATGACCATGCCGGAGTATCTCAAGAAGAGGTTTGGCGGGAAGCGACTCCAGATCTACCTTTCCGTCCTCTCCCTCTTCATCTGTGTGGCTTTGAGAATCTCAGTGAGTTCAGTGTCTCCTGGCATTTTAGCTTCAAGAGGTTGCCTGATGGGGCCAGTGTGCTAAGACGAGAGAGTGTGTGGGTGTGCACACCATCAACAGCCTTTACGCAGGCGTCCTCAAGCTACGGCCCGCGGGCCACATGCGGGTGTGTTTGCCTGTTTGTTTTTTTACCTCAAAATAAGATATGTGCAGTGTGCATAGGAATTTGTTCATAGTTTTTTGTAAACTATAGTCCAGCCCTCCAATGGTCTGAGTGAACTGGCCCCCTGTTTAAAAAGGTTGAGGACCCCTGCTTAAGGGGTGGAGCCATACGGATATCTTGAAGCCTCTGGGGTCTCTCTAGCAAGTCTTAACGGGGGGCGGTGGGAAGGAGCTTGAAGACTTTCAAGTCACAAGAGGCTGGGGAGTGTAAATCTACCCTCTCATCAAGGCTACGAAAACATGGAGGTACAGAAAGAACAAAATGTCTCATTCAGGTAACACAACTACTTAGTAGTGAAGAGGAAGGCTTCTCTGGTCTCCTGCCTTTCCCACTGCACAATTACCTTTTCATTCTTTCTCAGAGCCAATCCAGGCTTATACTTTCATTTTTAATTTGATTATCTGGCACACGAACCAAAAGTAATTTGGATTTTTTATATATTTTTTTTTATCATATCAGAATATTACAGAAGTATAAATGTTTTGGTCACTTAAGTTGCCTTTGTAAAAGCTGCAAGCATGCCCATCCCCCAGACATCGCACACCGATTAGGTGTGAATTCACCCATCTCCTCCTCTCCCTCCCCCCTACCCAATCCTCAGTGAATGTTACTTCCATATGTGCACATAAGTGTTGATCAATTACCAATTTAATGGTGAGTGCATGTGGTGTTTGCTTTTCCATTCTTATGATACTTCACTTAGAAGAATGGGCTCCAGCTCCATCCAGGGTAATACAAGAGGTATTATTTCACCTTTTTTATAGCTGAATAGTACTCCATGGTATACATATACCACATTTTATTAATCCACTCATGTACTGATCAGAGCTTGGGTTGTTTCCACATCTTCTTCACAAATGTGAATTGTGCTGCTATAAACACTTGAGTACAGATATCTTTTTTTTTTTTTTTTTTTTTTTTTTGAGACAGAGTCTCACTTTGTTGTCCAGGCTAGAGTGAGTGCCGTGGCGTCAGCCTAGCTCACAGCAACCTCAAACTCCTGGGCTTGAGTGATCCTTCTGCCTCAGCCACCCGAGTAGCTGGGACTACAGGCATGCGCCACCATGCCCGGCTAATTTTATATATATATATCAGTTGGCCAATTAATTTCTTTCTATTTATAGTAGAGACGGGGTCTCGCTCTTGCTCAGGCTGGTTTTTGAACTCCTGACCTTGAGCAATCCGCCCGCCTCGGCCTCCCAAGAGCTAGGATTACAGGCGTGAGCCACAGCGCCCGGCCACAGATATCTTTTTTATAAAATGTCTTTTTTTTCCTCTGGGTAAATACTCAGCAGTGGGATTGCTGGATCAAATGGTAGTTCTACTTTTAGTTCTTTGAGGTATCTCCATATTACTTGCCATAATATATTATTCTGACTTTTCTTAAACTTAACCTATTTTGTCTAAGACCACCCCTGTAAAACAGATGTCACAAATTAAGTGTTAAAAGAACTTAAAAGTTTTTAAAAAGTTGCATTCTTCGGAGACAATCACTGAGGAAAGAAGAAAGGAAATTGAAGATTCATCAGCATGTGTATAAAACGAAGAAAGAGTACCTCCTTTGCTCCTCGTGTACCAGTGACTAATGAAATAATCTCACGTTTACAGTCCACGCAGGTGTCTCAACGTCCGTGAGAGAAAAGCTGACCTTTACTGCTGCTCTTCTGTTGAGCTGAGCTGTTGTTGAAAGTGATCCAGCTGCTTAGATTAGACAGCACGAGCCTTCTAATACAACGTGAGCATTTCCCAGCACTTACTTTGTACTATGGAGCTCCGTGTTAGGATAGCAAAGATTCCTGAACAACAGGAGTTCACTATATGGCTAAGGAGATAACAATTCTACTGACAAAATAATTAGCCTCTTACAAAAACACACAAGAATATACTATAATGTGCGCTGAACTACCATGTATGGGCAAGTGCAGGAGATGTGCAGTGCACACCCAGGAAAGGAGATGGTCCTTTCTGGAAGGAATTGGAGGTTGTCCCCATGGAGGGGGCACCCAAACAGTCTCCATGGCAAGGTCAGGAGAGGCAGAGGGAAGCAGAGGAGCCCATGGGTGTCGGGGGCTTTGTGCCCGAATGTTCCTCAAGTGGGTTGGACTTGCTAATCTCCCAGTTATTACAGCTTTATGGTTCTAAAGAGCATGCACAGGTAGTGAGGCAGAGTGACAGGTGCCAAAGGGGCCCCAGAGGGTTGCAGCCTCCTGAAGTGAAGGGTTTCTGGCATTGGACTAGGGATGGGATGTCAGTGAGCTGGGTGGGGGCACAGGGAGGCCAGGACTGTGACCGTGCAGGTCTGTGGTCGCCTGGGAAGATTCCCCAGCAGGAGTCCATTCTCATGTGCAAGGTTCCATTTTAAATATTAATAATAGTTAATCCTAGACATGACCTTTTGTGTACTTTCAGACTCTGATAACAGATTCTGTCCTGGTTACTTATTAAACAGATCCTTATGAAGGGCTAGGGCAGGACAGTTCTCATAGTCCTCTGCCCAGATTTGAAAAAGATCTTGCTCACTGGTTCTCCACTTCTGATAACATATAGAGAGTTGTAGTCACTATACCCTTTTGCCCCCTAATATTTTAGTTTGTATTTCCTAAAAACACTGATATCCTTTTAGAGAACCACCTTGCAAATTGTAAAATCAAGAAATTAACTTTGCTATGAACTATTATCTAATCTAGAGTTCTTACCCAGATATTGACAATGGTTCCAATACAGTCCTTTATAGCAGAAGAAAATCTTGGATCATTATAATTCCTCTTTATTATGAGAAATATTTTATAATCATTGTGAATATAAATAATGCCACTGAATTGTACACTTAAAATGGTTTAGAATGGCAAATTTTATGTCACATATGTTTAACAACAATAAAAAAAATCATTGATAGCATGTAAGCTACTTCCATACAATCTCCAAGCCATCAACATAATGCCTTAATGGTACAATATAATGCCTTAATGGTACTATATAATAGAAACAAAGGTCACCAAATTCATAATAAGATAAAAGTGTGTTTTAATATGTAAATGACCAGGTAGGACTACACACGTCAATATACTGTGGTTCAATAATTGCCCCTCTATGTAGATCAGTATAAATGAGATGGCTATAAATGCAGATGAAGCAGATATACATGAGTGGCACCCCCACAAGAGATGCTCTCTTTCTGAAATGATAAACATTTTTTTGTAAATATCCATCTTTTGTTGTTTTGGGGGGGTTTATTTCAGCATATTATGGGGGTACAAATGTTTAGGTTACGTATGTTGCCTTGCCCCCTCATCAGCCCCACAGGTGAGAGTTTTAAGCATGTCCATCACCCAGATGGTGCGCCTCACACTCATTATGTATGTATATGCCCATCCCCTCCACCCCCCTCCCATCTGCCCGACACCTGATAAATTTTATTCCTATATGTGCACTTAGGTGTTGATCCGTTAATACCAATTTGCTGGTGAGTACATGTGGTGCTTGTTTTTCCATTCTTGGGATACTTCACTTTGTAGAATGGGTTCCAGCTCTATCCAGGAAAATACAAGAGGTGCTACATCACCATTGTTTCTTAAAGCTGAATAGGACTCCATAGTATACATATACCACATTTTATTGATCCACTCATGAATTGATGAGCACTTGGGTTGTTTCCACATCTTTGCAATTGTGAATGTGCTGCTATACACATTTGAGTGCATATGTTTTTTATAGAATGTCCCTTTTTCTCTTGGGTAGATGCCTAGTAATGGGATTGCTGCATCAAATGGTAAATCTACTTGTATCTCTTTAAGGTATCCCCATATTGCTTTCCACAGAGGTCACTAGTTTGCAGTCCCACCAGCACTGTCTATTTCTCCACATCCATGCCAACAATTATTGTTTGGGGACTTTTTGATAAAGGCATTCTTGCTGGAGTTAAGTGATATCTCATTGTGGTTTTGATTTGCATTTCCCTAATGATTAGAAATGTTGACCATTTTTTCATATGTTTGTTATTCTGTCTTCTTTTGAAAGTTTTCTGCTCATGTCCTTTGCCACACTTTGATAGGGTTGTTTGATTTTTTTCTTGCTGATTTCCTGAGTTCTAAATAATTCTAGTTATCAGCACTTTATGGATATGTAGCATGCAAAAATTTCCTCCATTCTGTAGCTGTCTGTTTGCTCTCGTGACAGTTTCTTTGGCTGTGCAGAAGCTTTTTAGTTTGATCAGGTCTCATTTTTTGTGTTGTTGCTGTGATTGCCCTTGGGTCTTCTTCATAAATTCTTTGCCTAGCCCAATGTCTAGAAGAGTATTTCCAACGTTTCTCTCTCTAGAATTCTAATAGTTTCATACCTTAGGTTTAAGTCTGTTACCCAGCATGGTTGATTTTTGTGAGAAGTGAAAGGTGTGGATCATGTTTCAGTCTTCTACAAGTGGCTATCCAGTTTTCCCAGCAACATTTATTGAATAAGGATTCTTTTCTCCAGTGGATGTTTTTGTCTGCTGTCAAAGGTTAGATGGCTATATGAGGATGGTTTTTGTATCTGGGTTCTCTTTCTTTTCCACTGGTCAATGTGCCTGTTCTTGTGCCAATCCAAGCTGTTTTAATGACTATAGCCTCGTAGTATAGTTTTAAGTCTGGAAAATTGATACCTCTTATTTTGTTTTTATTGCCTAAGATTGATTTTGCCATACGGGGTCTTCTCGGTTTCATACAAAGCATAAAATTATTTTTTCTTCATCTGTGAAAAATGATGTTGGTATTTTAATAGGGATTGCATTGAATCTGTAGATTACTTTGGTAGTATAGAAGTT